TGTCTTCAGTATAGAAGTGGCTGGTGGGCGTATATGTTTCAAAGCAGAAACAGTGCAGACTAAAACACGTTCAGACCATCAGAGTTAGCAGTAACACGGACTGACAATGGGACTGTAGGGTTTCATTATAATCCTGAATTCTTCTATAAGAGTAGATAGTTTGATCTAATGGGAGATTCATATTTAACTCGATATGTTGTTTTCTATAGAACATAGGTAAAACATGTCCAAAGCATTAATGAATATGAGCTCAATGAAGCTTAATACCAATCACCAGCAGAGGTGCAAACATGTAAACAATCATAGCAACAGTTTGGCTGTTATTTAATAAAAATAACTATTATTAAAATTGATTTTTAAAAGTATGGTGATCACTTTCTGTGGGATATAATACAAACATCTGGTGCTTTTGTAGAAAACTAACAAACTAGAGATAATGATAGTAAGATTTCACTTTCCAGGACAAACGATGGATGAACATGAACGCTCTAGCAAGTGTGACAGATTATTTATGTTATGATAAACGTCTCACTTTGCGGTCATCTTAACTTTGTTAAATAACAAATTTTTTGTCTTATTAGTCAGTCTCACTTCACTCTGTGTTTCCTACCCTGTTTGTGACACTCAGCATCAAGCGCACTGATTCTTTCTGAAGATGTAAATATTCAAATAATAAAAACAGCTCACAAATATACATTGATAAAAAAGCAAAAACAGCTGAGCACTGTAGCTTTTAGCATATGTGACTCAAACAGGAGTAAAAGTGTATTTGTTGGGGACTTTTCAGTCACAGAATGATACACACCTGGTGAACTAGAGTTTTAATGGCAGCAGGACGGTGCATGTGAAACTGACTCAAAGTAAGCTACTATAATGACCTGTGATGATCTTAAATGTGCCTGAGCACCAGCCACTTTCAAGTCTCAACGGAAAACCCAGCTGTTTTCCTGTGCCTTTGTTTGACTGGTTTCTACGCTGTACTTCCTGCGTTATAAAAGCTAGATTTCTGTTTCAAACCTTTTATTTTGTCTATTTTTTGCATGTTCATTATATATATTTTATTCCATTTCAGCAATGTTTGATCTTCACTTTGTCCTAACTGATTTTATTCTGGTTTAAATGCTTATTGTTTTAAATACTGTTACTGTTTTTCATTGCCTCTGTAAAGCACTTTGAATTGCCTCTGTGTATGAAATGTGCCATATAAATAAAGTCACCTTGCCTATAATAATAGAGCTCAATGGCAGAGAGGAAGAAGATGTACCAGATCTAGTCACTGTTGGTTTTGGTCTTTTCATTGTATACACTGACCAGAAACATGTAGAATTTCATCAGCCTCGTCCTTTAAAATCACATTTTAAGCACCTGAAAACCTCAGATGCTTTACTTATACACTAAAAACCAAATGAAAGGTGGATTGTAATGTTATGGCCTGCCTACACACTCCAAGCAATGTCTGTCTCCTTCTATAGCACAAAATGCAGATGAAACGAACAACCCCACACCACCACCGCCACCACCACCACACACACACACAATTAATGCTCAAGGGTGACAATTTCAATCAACATCCAGGTTTGAGGTGGACTGAGCAAATGTGTTGTAATTTATTGTGCTTGTGAATAAAGCAGACGTGTGACTTTTTCCTCTTGGGTGAAGAGCATGGCAAATGTTAACTCTCATGCAAAAATAAATAAATAAATAAATCTACACTGGTTGAGTTACTTAAAAAATTATCTCTGATAAGTCCCAAACAGATACATTTAAAAAAACAAGCCCACCATATATCTGCAGGAAACTCCAGCTGAGCATCACTGTAAAGCCACACAGCTGAAAACAAATGGACGCCTCTCTCCATGGGATAATCCGTAAACATAGATGCATAAATAAATATCTGTAGCTTTTAATAAGGAAAAACTAGTAGCGGCACAGAGTGTGTGTATTATGTTGTTAGCACCCAGAGTTGATCGTAAATCCTGACTTTTTACAGCCTACGTCTTCAAAGCCCCTTGGTGTCAGTTTTAACCATGACATCATCTCCCTAAATATAGCTTTGCACTGGTAGCTGCTATTAAACAAGAGGTAAAAGATTGTCAGTGATATTTAGCAACATGTAATGATTTATCATACACAGGTGACATGATGTCAGGACAGAAATTATCCTAAAGGCAATTATGAAGTCCCATCACTGCTGTAATTCTCAGTAATTATCCATATTCCTATTTATATTTATTTAAAGCCTGCAAATTATCACATGTCATTATGGAAACGTTATTAGATTATGGATACACCTTTGAAGTACAGTGTTACTGTATTTTAACTGTAGTGTGCAAGTGTACACGTTAAAACAATCAAACAAAGGAGGTGTGTCGCTACACACACATCGTGTGATGATCTGATGATTGTTAAATGACGCCACAGTGTTACCACAATGCCAACGGTTTCAACAGAATACACACCAAACTACAAGTGATGCTTGACTGATTAGCCATTTTGCATCCCTGCTTGAATCATTGTGATTTGGTATTAAAAATATCATTATGCTGAGTTCGGTACACAAACAGGGATCAACAATGTGAGGATCGTATTTAAAGATGTGCAAAGAAGGGACAATAATCAGCGAGGCAAACAGTCCTCTCGGCAGCACACATCACCAAACTAATAGTGAATAATTTCAATAAAATGTCAAATAGCACATGGATGAAACAGCTTTGCATTGTGATTTAAAAACACAAAACAAATGTCCCTTATTGATATAATTGGTGCAAGAAAATAAGAAACGTGATGACTCTTCTTGGCCAGTTATTTTGTATACGCATAAAGGCTTAGTGTCTCCAAATTCCAAATAAGCATATTTTCTCATAAACCTCTCATGACATCTTTCTCTGGATTTATTGTTGATTTTATTTGTTCAGGTGTTGTGAAATTTCTGCCACCAACCCAATACAGTGGAGGTGAAAGGTGTTTCGTTTGCTCACAGCATTAGAAAATTACATTTAGAAATTTAACAGCAAATGTTTCTTTCTGGAGTCCGTGTCCGTGTTACTCTGGATACTAAACAGACCTCACTGTCAACAGTTTTCATAGGAGTTACGTTCCACTGAAGAACTACCCCCAGAGAAAACTGTGGACAGTGTGTTCTGTGGATTATCCTGATAAATGAGGACACTGCAAATATAATTTTTCAAACATGTGGCCAGAACAAGCTAAGTTCTTTTCGCTTTTATTGTACTTACGTGGTGGTAAAAATATTAAAGCGAAGTCTCAAAACCTGGCATGGCTATAGTGCATACTACTAGGGGAACAAGAAAATAATGATGTTGTAGTAATCAAGGTGGGCTAACCCTTTAGGTAAACATGTCACACCATTACTTACCCTAACATTAGCTTTGATCAGTTACTGAACACAAACAAATGACCCAAACCGGCTGCCATCAAGTGTTATATTTAGAGCAGGCGGTGTACTGGAAGTGCTCATTTTGTAGCATGTTAGAATGTTATTTTAAAGAGGGCAATTTTAAAAGAAAAATCACGTTTTTGTGGTTCATCAGCTGGTGCTTTTATTCACACAGCACACACACACACCCATACACACACACAGGCGCTAAAACATCAATAGCATCCATTTTGTTGCTGTTCCCTGGCAAGAGGATATGATTGTCAAACCAGCTGTGATAAACATTTCCTGTCTTATAAGCAGGGGCTTACCAGGAGCACCTGAATGCACCATCAAACTCTTTATAACAGGGATGCAAAATAGCTGCCATGAAATGGCTCCAACAGTCTGCAAAGGGAGCAGGTCAGGAGGAGCCTATTGATCACTCCAGCCAACATAACTTATAGCCTGTGCTGCACATCAACATCATCCTGTTTGCCACAAATTTATATTTTATGTCACTCTTGGATTTACAGATCAAAAAAATAGTAATTGCTGCCATAATAAAAACGTGTTGAATACAAACAGGGAGGGACTTTTTCTTATTTTAAGCCAAAGAGAAGTTTATCAGGGAAACCTCTGCTCATATTGGCAGGTACAACGTGATTACAAGCACAAGTACGTTACGTGGAGGTGTTGCCTGACCTGTCTACGGTGTGATGCTCACGCTGGGAGGTGACATAACAGGTATTTCGGATTGGACTTTGCAGGTCTTGGTGCCAAAAACAAATAGTATAAAGCCGATACATTGCATGTTACAGTTAGTTAGTACATGGACAAAACATTTATAATCAGTGGATAACTTTGGCCATCACATATTTAACCAGCGCTGGCACTATACAACTGATTAGGTCTGTGTGAGCTCTGACCTAATAACAAAGGTGTGTCCACGTCCCCACCAGGTAAATGATAGTAAATCTGACAGACTGAATGCCAAGCGATAGGCCTGTGTGCGAGTTTCTGCTACATTATTAGACACTATGTCTGTACAGATGTATGTCCGGAGATAAAGTTATGATGAAGAACAACATCAAAGCAACATTTAAAATTCCAGATGACACACAACATGTCGCCAGGGTCACTTCATTGATCACAACAAGATCCAAACTGTACATACACCCTGATCAGAAATATCATCCTGATAAGGCAAGGCATGTGAAACACCAGCCAAACTATAAAATCACTAACAGGCACTTCAAGACCCTTCTATGTATCACATGAATATAACAAGGTGTGTGTTATTCAAGAAAGACATTTACAACCTGCTGCTGCTGGTACCTGCGCATCATTTTAGGGTTCTCAAATCATCAAAAGAACTAAACTCCTCTGTGTTTAAGACAGTAATTAATCACACGCAAGACACAGTAATTCTTGCCATGTATAGATCACTTAAAGGTCTACAGCAAGTTGAAATAAGAGGAGAAAACCAAGTCCCTGAGTAGGTACAACTCTTGCTCACTCGTCCCGATCCGTCATTACGAGCTGCACGCAGAATGCAATTTAAAGGGTGATTTGGGTTTGACGTCATCCTCATCCTCTAACACATCTCAAGCCGTGCAATTACCTTTCTCCGTACGAGGAAGAGGGGGGAGACAAGGAGGAGTAGGAAGGTCGACCGGTGTCTCTGTGCACTCCCTCGGTGAAAACATCCAAAACGTGGGTCCCCTTTATTCTCCGGTGCACATCTGGAGGCTCCAGCAACAGCAGCAGCGGCAGCAGCGGCAGCAGGGTCCACCGGGCACACATGTCACCCCATTACCATCTTTTTTCGGCATTGTTCTTTCCTACAAGACATAAAATATATACATAAAAAACATGGTGAGATCTAACCGTCTCTACTTAGCCCATGGTCGTACGTACAGGCCTTCACGGTTCAGAGAGGGAAGTGGTGAATAAGAGGGGATTTAGGTCGAGGTGGGGGAACTTTACGACCTGGTTATCAGAAGGTGCCACACAGCTATAAACATAGGCCTGTACACAAAAGTCTCAGGTTTTACGCACCAGAGTAACGTAAACCCATACAGTAAAATTCAACCATTACGTCATCGTTAAGTGATGTATAGGCACGTTTACCTTCAGTCACACCCCCCACTGAAAGAGCAACAGAAAAACAGCCCCCTGCTGCACAAAACTCTGATTTTTGTCATTACTGCTCCTGAAGGCAGAGAAAGGCCAGGCGACTGCACGGGTCAGAGGTCACGCAATTTCCCTTTCAAATAAACGTCATCTATGTTTGTCCTGTCGTTTCCATGTGTATTTATCGCTTTGCCCCTGAACCCTAACATACGTATGGTTCAGACTCTGTAGTCAGACTGCATGAAGGCGTTCCTGGGGTGCACAGCGAAAAACTTTCTCATGCAGCTGTGTGGTCAGCGCAGATGCGAGCAGCGAGCATGGACGTCACTAGGTCAGTGCTTTGCTCATGGCTTGAGTTATATGACACTCTCGGAAATTATCTCAGACCCCTGCTGGGACATTTAGCAGGGTGTGTTCATTTTGGTCTCGGTACGTCATGAACTTTTTTTTTTTTTACTTCCTAGTTTCTTTTTCTGGTAACTCTACGTCATCGCCACAAACACAAGCGGCCAGCCATCTAAACACTTTAATTGTGATTTCAATAACGTCACTTTTTGATCTCTGACCAGCGCTTTTTCCGTCCTGACATATATTTTCTTGCCAACCTTCAAGCCTGTAACTTACAGAGCTTGTGACGTCAAAGGGGCGTCATAATTCACAGTGTAGGTCATTTATGAGTAACCCTACACTGTCTTCCTATCTGGCCATATACTTGAAAATCTCTTTTAGAATGAATGATAATTATTCACACTGATGCTCCCTTCAACTGTGATGGGACAGCAGAGACCAAGCTGAGCACAAAGTTGCATGTGGTTTTCTTCTCAAGGCTAAATTGAATTACATCTTCTTTTGCTATTTTTACTCTGTCTTTTAAGAAACACAGTGCTCGTCTCTGAGTTTTGTTTTCAACGGTATGATGGCTTTGCGTGTATACGTCACTCTGGAGGGCAGACTTTTGCTGTGCTACAGAGTATACTGACCGAATCTTTAGGATGCACAAATTTGGAGTTTTTTTTTTCTTCTCGTTTTTTTTGTTTTGTATCTGGTGGGTCAAACTGACAGGACGTGGTCGTGTCCGGTTCTCTGTGTGCTCTTTGTGGGGAACGCTGACAGGGAACAGTAGTGGGCGATGCTTGAGGTGGATTAACTACTATTCACAAATCTGAGGGAGGGAGACACGTGTGTGTGTGTGTGTGTGTGTGTGTGTGTGTGTGTGTGTGTGTGTGTGTGTGTGTGTGTGTGAGTGTGAGAGGGGGAGGCTGCGTGGATGTTCGCACAGAGGCAACACACACACCAACTACGGTCAGTGTATGAGGCAACGAATGCAGCTGCCCCTTATTCTTCTCCATCTGCTAGTCCGGACTTCTCCCTATGTTTGGATGGCCTTGACGGGGAATCCCTTGCATATGCACTTTACTTACAGGTGTATATATATATATATATATGTGTGTGTGTGTGTGTGTGTGTGCATTTTTCCCACATTTTTTGTGCGGAGGGGTTAGGGGTACATCGATTTTCAAGCAAAATGGCACCCCACCCTCCAAAACATACAACACTCTCCACTGTTTTGCCCACGTGCAACTTGCCCATTGCAAGGGTCTCCCCATGTTTACACTCTGCTTTGCTGGGGGCCACTGTCACTTGTGCAATGTGGGACGGGGGTGGGGCGGGGTGGTTTTTGGCTGAAGTAATGACTTAATCTTGCATGATTCAAAGTTTTGGTGCATACAACATGTTTGTTGACAGCAGTACCGAATTATTTGACACTTAGACACGCAAGAGTTTGGGCAAAACTTGGGTGCGACGTGGCTGCAGAGCTTCGCCACAATTTCTAACAAAGAAGAAAACTGTTGACTAGGGGGAAAAAATGACTCACGAAGGGCTGAAAAGCAACCATGACAAAAACGCCACTGATATGGCAATGATGAAAATAACAAGAGTAAATAATGACAACAATAAAACAAAAAGGAAATTCAAGGAGAAAAGGGAAACAAGCCCTTAAAAATTAAAGATTGTAAAATTCCAGGAGTGGTGCCGTCTTCCGACGTCGATGTCTCGGCGCGACGATTGCGCCCTCCGCAAATGCTTTTTGGGGTAAGGGCTTCCCAGATTAATAGTTATGAACAGCAAGCCCAGACCGCAAAAAGATTCGTGAAGGGCATTATCTGCTGCTGCTGCCGTCCGACGGTGAATCCGTGGCACCCAGGGAGTCTGCTCTCTTTTTGCTTCCGTGAATTTATCTCCTATCCCGGCTCAGTTGATTGTATCTCCAGCCATCGGCAACCCGAGGCGAATGTGTCCCTCCAACACACACTAGGAGGAGGAGAGAATGGACTGAGGATGGACAAATAGAGAAAGGGGGTCTCCGGATGCCAAGGCTGCTGCTGCAACTGAGAGCTGTCCAAGGTCCTTTCGCTTTGATTCCCCATTCCTTCTCCAGTTTGAATTCTACTCTATCTCCCCTCTCACCCATTCCTCTCTCCTTTCCCCTCCCTCCCTCCCTCTCTCTCTCTCTCTCTATCTCTTTCTGCCTCACATTTCCTCTCCTGCTTTTTTAATCCAAGCGCTCGGATGTGCAAAGCCAGTGTGATCATTGGGAGCTGTGCATCGGTGCGTTTTGCTGTCAGGGTACTCTCTCTGTATTATATTCCCTGGTCCGTGGTGTGTCTCCCTATAGAGAAGCGCTGGCTCTGCAGCCGCTCCAGAGCTCTGGGTGAGGAGGGAGCAAGGCTGTAAACTGCTGGCAATAAATAGAGAGCAGGGAGGGATCTTATTGGAGCAAACCAAACCTCGTCATCAACCAATCAGTGTCTCGCTCATATAGGGACCCCCCTTTTTGAAAATAATAATAATAATAATAATAATCAATAAATAAATAAACAGGGCCAAGCAAATTGTGATCTATACCAGCGAAAGTGTACACATAAATGTATTGATAATGGGATATTAGCATTTGACAGGATTTTTGTTAGTGTGCATTTTCTTTTTTCCACCCCTCAACTTTTTTGGCATTTACAAAGAACCTCTAGTGAGGCTGTGTGATTGACTGTCGTTCTAAATGTTATAGGCTAAATATTGTGATAAATAACACCAAATTATGGTGACAGTAATAATAACTAAGATAAGTGACAGCATAAATGAGCCATTTGAACCTCATGGCAAAAAACGCCCCCTTTCTTTTCCTTATGAGCCAGCAACAAGCTACTTCGAATTATTGGAAACGCAAAGATACTAAGAAAAATTAAAGTTATAAAAACAATAAAAATTGCATGTCGACAAAGAGTGGGAAGCTCTGCAAAGCCCTCCACATCGCAACAAAACATAACAAGAAGCATCCGAGGCGACTCATGGTCACCTATAGAGTTCATTGGAGGGTACCACTGCAAAAATAACACGGGGGTCTCGGAACTGCAAATTCATTCTGGAGCCGCGATGGTTCGGTGATTTACAGCGGTTTTAAGGTTGAAACCAAACAGAATAACAATGATATCGCCACTACAACCTACAGCAACCGTTTACAGCAACAATGTACAACTTAACAGAACAACAACACATTGCTGAGCATCCCATCAAGAGTTAGAGTTAATCACGACCGTAAACCACTCATTCTCACACACTCTGAGTTCAAACCATCTTTAATATGTTTTGTTTTTAAAGTCAAATTTAACAAATGAATAATCAAATAGATAGAATAACTTACCTGTTTTTATTCCTGCAACATTCCCATTAGATTTTCTAATGCCAGTGCAATATCTTACCCCCATAAACAACCCTCAGCTTCCCCTTCACGGACCTGCAAGTTACTGTATACCGAGGTGGAGGCCGGGTCACGATCTGGATCCGGACCCCCTCTCTCTGCTCCCCACTTGTTTGTAACAGGTTTGCCCCCCACCCCTCCACCCCCAATCCTCACTGCCCCACTATCACTGATGAAACTCGTCTGCATTCAAGTTGGCTGCCAGCAAACAGCAGGGCTCACAATAAAAACAAGCTTTGGGGAGAAAGGAGATATTTTGGACTGGGGTGCTGGGGTGGGGAGGGGGGCGTTAAGGAAATGGCTAGTAGAGACTCTAAAGCCCACCTCAGACCTCCACCCTTTCCCTCCCGCCATGATCCCCTCTTCTCTTTCCTCCCTCCCGGTATGGGAATTTTTTAATTGGGTGGTCTTTTCATTTGCAACCCAGTCAGTCACGATTCTCCCCCACCGTCTGCACTGCACAGTGACTGCCTCTCCTGACGCAGCCAACGCGCACATTACTCACTTTAGCAGTCACGACTCGGGAATGCGTGTTGTTTCCACCGAATTTACACGCTCGGTATTGAATTATTGAGCAAGATCTTCCGATATTTGCGCGTTTTGACCGACGAAGATTTACAGTGTTGTTGTTTTTTTTTGTGTGTGTGTTTGGAGAGGAGGAGGAATGTATCAGAGGTGCAATGAGGATTTTGCACGACAAAGACAGGTGGTCGATGTGGTTTATTTGTTTTTGCTTTTCCATCTGTGGCACGGCAGTCTCGTAGTCCGCATGCAAAATACTGGACAAATTGGGCAAAGTCGTACACAGCCTGGGACTGGGGGCGAGCGCGAGTCTTGTCCCCCTAGTTGGGCTGCAGGACTGTGCAGACGTCTGTAGGCTAATTCATCATCTTGCCGATCCGGGTCGCTAATTCAGCTCTAATACCTTAAATAAAAGGGTGATTCTTTCAGACTCTTTTTTGGGCTGACGCTCCCGTCGCCTCTTTGGCGCTCTCCTCGTCGCTAGGATGCTAAGTTATTGTGAGCAGAGCTCTTAAACCAAAAAACACATTAAAGCATTTGTGTCGGGCGCATCTTGCTGAACTCAAACACAGAATTTCGAGATCACTTTCACTACTTTTTTTCAAATATTTCTTAAGCGCAGTGACTGCTACACATCTTCTGTTTACTTTAGCGAGAGACAAACTTGCATCACTTCAAAAAGGCCGGACTGGTAAAGAAATCAGACGGATTCCTTTATGAGTTGGTCAGGCACGGAAGGAAATGACGGGACTGACGTGAGCAGAAGAGCTGATCCAAGTCAGTCCGCCTGCTATCACGCTCTGTCTCTCTCTCTCTCTCTCTTTCCCCCTCTCGAACCTCTCTCTGTCTACCTGCATGGCATCCGATGATGCCTTTCAAACTATACAGGCGGGAAAAGCGTTGTTATAATATCTTTTCATCAAAGGTCTCCCCTCAGTAAACCCTGGCAAATCTGAAGGAGGCAGGGATGCTTCAGTTTTTCTCCTCCGTCGCTGCAGGAAAGAGGATTCACTCAGAATAGATGCTGTTGGTTTCCAAACAGGAGTAAATAAAGCTTTTGGCTGCCAGGAACAACACCAACCACCCCCGTGCACACACACACATGCACACAAACGCACACTCGCACTGGCAAACACACGAGCACCAGCAACAGCCCACTACCGCCACTTGGTGTGGTTTCAGCACCATTGCTGCTGGACAGCTCCCGGGTTTCCCCATGCGGTGCGCCTGGTCTCTGCAGCAGCAACAGCTCCTTCCCTTCACTCCCTCCTCTTCCTCCTCTTCCTCCTCCACCGCTGCTTCTCTGTCTCTAGGACTCCTCTTAAAAACAAGAAAACGGGGGGAAAGGCGTCCTTAAGCGCTCATCAGAAAAGGGTTCCCTTCTCTTTCGCGGTTATGAAGGGGGGAAAAATAAATATGTGACAGAGACTCAGCAGCGCCAACAGACAAAGGGAGATTTTGCTCTTACTTATTTACAAAACAGGGTGATCCCTACTCTGCGGGAAGGGTTGCTCTATGCCTCGGCTCTACAGATAAACATGGCTCGTATAACATGCCAGTAAAATCCATGCTTACGACCGCGAGTCAAGTATTTTAGCGTGCATGAGACAGAGGAGCAGGCAAAACTGGAAGAAGCACAGGCACTCGGGAGCATGCACTAACAAATACACAAAAGTACATGGGATTAACATTATATGTGCACATGTGTCACTCACCGTGGTGCAGGGATGTCCTTGTTCTAAACTGGACAAAAGAGAAGCACAAAAAAGATTGATATTTTAGTGAAAAGACGCAACAAGAGTCTGGAAGAAAAGCAACAGATTAAGTCCTCCATTTGTTATTATGTAGGCTTACAGTGGCACGTCCAGGTTTGTTCAGGATCGCCTCCCTTTTTATACAAGTGATACCCGTCTGTCTATTTCTGGCGCACGATCAAAACTATGATGCTATTTTTAGGTCACAGTACGAGGAAGGAAAAAAAAAACACGCACCAAAGACATCGCTTAGAAACGTTACGTGAAGTGCATGTAATGTAAATTAATTTTGCTTCTCCAACTCTGCACAAGAGCTCCGATTCCCCTCCGTTGCATCATTGCAGTGATTTTTTTTTTTTGAACCCAATGTGCCTTCAACAGCACCACCACCAACTCCTCGCTCTTAAAACACACTACTTTCCCCCCCTAACAACTAAAAACTGGAACTCGTCGTCATTGCCAGTATCATCGACAATATTTGATGTCTTGTCGCCCTCTTCAGAAGCTTCTCGTTCCAGTGTCACTTCAGCAGCTGAAACTCATGAACGCAAAATAGGTCCAGATACTGTTGAACGCGGATTACCCAGCGCTCCCTGTGGGGTTTTCTTTTTTCGTTTAGTCGACGGAGCACTGTAAGATTTAGTAATTAAGCTTTGCTGACGATAAAAATAAATAAATAAATAAGTAAATAAGTAAATAAATAAATAAAAAGCCATTTTTTGTTGAAGGGCTGCGTCAGTTACTAGGCATTGACGTCACGTTTAGATTCTCTCACTTTACAGCCCGTAGAGCCTGATTACAGACACTGGCGCTCTGTGATCAGGCTCTTCGCAAATGTGCTATGCAAAAAATGAGTGACAAAATAGAAAAATATCATAAGTAAATCATGTGGTGTGTGCTCGTGGAAACTGCGGCTTTGGAGTAGGTTATCTCCTGGTTTTAAAAAAAAAGAACTCCTCTAATGTTGGAGTATCTGGGTCTTCATCCAACCTTCCCCTCCCTCCTCTCCTCTCTCTCCCTTGTTTCTATATAGGCTATCCCCCTAGCAAACGTTGGTGCTGAATTAGTCTTGGAGATTGTTTTAATCCCGGCATCCAGTGCATTTGGCGGGCAAAACACTGCATCTCTAAGCCGAGGGAGAGAAAAACAGTGAGCTGATCCGCTGCTGCTTCCTCCATCTCCTATATTCTCTGCTCGTGCCTACGCACCAGACCCCGCTCACCCACGGAATAGACCCACAGGGGGTGCACACTTGTCCATGCAAAAGCGCACAAACAAACCTCCCTCCACAGTATGCTCTGTCTCTCACCCCACCACCCCTTAAATATCTATAGCACCTTTACTCTAAGACCCTCGCCACACACCCCACGCCGTCCATCTGCACTCATGCCGCGTGGAGATTTACGAGACTTTGCTAGATGGGATGGGGTGAGCTAAGGTGGATGGCGCTGTGGATTTAGACATAGAGGTGGTGAGATTCCACTGAGTGGCAGCTACCTAGAAAAGTCTGCTCCGAGATGGGAAAAGGGCTGCGCCCGTCGCATCGGTTTGTGCTATTTTTATCCCTGCCTGTAGGCCAACTGTATGTCCGTGACTGCTGGCGAGTGCATTTACAGGGACAGACAGACAGGACGGATTTAGCATGTCCTCCACACTATGATAGCACAATACAAATATAAAAGAACATGGTCACTTGTTTGGCTGTGGATATTTTGGCATCAGTGTGGTTTTCTGTTTTTCACAGAACCAAGCCAAAGTAAGAAAAGATGAGACGATGCTCAAATATCCTACCTATACAGCACACAAACCCCAAACACAAGCCACCCTACACACAGAAACACACATGTACACACACAGTTCCCTGTAGTCCATAGCGATTCAATCAAAGAAGGATCAATATCAATAGGAGTTGCAGCCGAGGTTCCTCGGTGCAGTGCGACAAGATCACCGCATGATGTCGACAAACTCAGCCAGAGAGGCTCTTTAATTTGACCCCACGCCCACCCGGTCCCCACGACCCCCACCCTTAAAAAAGTGTGCACTCTTGAGTTCTGCAAGTTTCAAGCCACAGCTAACTTTGTCTTTTGTGCAACCTTTGCACGACCTAATCTCACAATGAGAAAGGACCGAACATGCTTCAGCTCCCGTTGTCACAACTAATTCATTGCAGGAGATGTGATCTAAAGCACGGCTGTTTGTGGACAAGTCTCTCCGCCGCAACGAGTTAAAGCCCGAGCTAGACATCTGTAACCACCTTTATGCACCTGTGAGGTTTAATTTCAGCCTTGAATGTATCATGGTGTCAAACTAGTGCTCGTGACTCTGGAAGTAGAAGTACAACGGATTTTCACGATTCTTGTTTCATATTCACCACCATAACTCTGTTTACAGCCATAAACTAACTTGCCTTCCAGCTGAACAGCTTAGTGAGTCCATCCTGTCCACAGCTCTCTCAATGCACCTCGTGTAATTTACACTCTCCAGAGTCGGTTGTTACTGATGCTACCTTATGTCGCTTCAGCAAATTCAAGTGCCAAGTTAGAGGCCATGCAGGGTTTGTGAAAGCAGTTATACTGCTGCTGTGAAAACCAACAAAAGAATACGAAAGTGGCTGGCAACGTGTGTGGACTGACGCAAGCCCGCTGCGGACAGTTATTTACAGTGGAGAACGCCTTACCCCTAAGCCGACCTTTGCTTGTAACAAATACACATTAATTGGGGGCTCTCACACACTCTCTCTCTCTCTTTAGACACTCACATTTGCTTTATTGGCACAACAGGGAAGAAACCTCTGTTTGCAAAACAGTAATATATATAGAGAGAGAGAAAGAAAGAAGAATATTCTCCCAAACTTTTCCCTCTCTGTCTCTGTTAGCTGTTACTAGGCATCTCGGGAAAGCAGGCAGCCTAAAGCAGAGGATCCCCAACACGTGAATAGCCTGCTCCAGCGCATTACACTTTCTTTGAGTTTGTGCACAATCTCCTCTAATGTGCATGCACACAAATAAATCCAAATAAGCCTTCCTCGGTACAGCTGCCTTCCTGTGTTTATAAACTGGTCTGGTCGATCTCGGGGAAAGTAACGCTGGCATGGCCCGCAGTGGACCTAAATAAAGTCGCTCTGCATGTCTCGTGCTGCAAACACGAAATTTTTAATTACAAGCTAGTTGGAGATCTCAGTAAGGCGAGTATTCACGATTCTAAGCAAAAGGGAAAAAGTTCACAAAAACGCACAAATGAATGCTTCCCCCTTAATGAACGACATTTACTTAACGTAGGTAAATATGTCAAAAAGATGTATTAAATCTAGAAACGGGGATGAGCCTGACTTTGCATGGGAGTGTTACTACCCCTCCTTCTTAGATTAACCGATCATTTCCGAGACTCTAAGTCCAGATATATGCACGCACGGTCTAACTGCAAACTTCCATGGCCAGCACGGAATATTCTGCTTCGGGGTACTCGCCATTTACAAAAGAAAGCACTTACCTTTTGGATTTAGATTTTTTTCTTTCTTTTAAGGGGACTTAGTGCAGGCTGAGACAGAAAGAGGAGACATTGAGAGAGCAAAGGCAGGGCAGCCAACAGCCTCTCCTTCCTGCGTTGGGACGGAGAAAACAGGTCAATCCGATGTGCGTCGTTTCTCAGTTCTGTCGGGGTCTAAAATATTTGGTTTTGCCTTCAGGATTCACGGAGCCGGTTCAAAAGAAATGTGGGTTGGTGGGTGGTGGCGTTGGAGGGAATGAAGGGTGTAGGGGTGGACAGGTTTCGGTGGTGATTGGAGAGGAGGGGGAGAGTGCACAGACTTACAAATATGACCAGCTGATAGAAAGAGCCCGCCAAATCAGAGGGACTTTACGCATCTGAGGCGCGCAACATGGTTCACCTCACTGCAATCACCCCCTCTCTCTCTGTCTCTGCCTGTGTGTATATATGTATGTGGCTGTGTGTGTGTGCATGACTTCCAGACAGTGACGGAAAGCATGAATGGGACAAGAAAAGCCCAACTGAGACTCCGCGCTATTGTCAGCGTAAACCCGCCGGGAAGCGGATAAATCGGGAGCAATTTAAAAGACAGGAGGACCGATTGGAAGCTAATGATAAAAAAGAAATGACGAGGAGCAGATAAGCATTCGTGTCACCACACAGGGAAGGACTTTGGAAAAGCGTCTCGACGAGAGACCTGAAGCCAGCTCGCTTTCTCTCTCTCTCTCCATCTCTGTGTATTTGTCTCTCGCTCTCTCCCCGATCCTCTTCTCCAGCAGTGTTCTATTGACCTGCATTGACGTCACTGCGTCATTAGGTATCCCTTAGAAACACTGACTCTCAAAAATAGTATCAAATTAATTCAGATGGCACGGAGAA